TAATAATGTACGAGAATAACTATTGAAGCAGAACAAAATAACCAGACACAAAACATAACTTTATACAGTAATGTTATGAGTTCCTAAGACTTTCTGATTCAACTTTCCTAAGCCCTGGTCTTCAAGCTTCTTAAGTCCTGTTTATTCAAGCTTTATAAGTCCTGGTATTCTAACTTCCTAAGTCTTGGTATTCAACCTTAAGTTCTGGTATTCAAGCTTCCTAAGTCTTGGTATTCTAGACGTAATACAGACACTTGCTTTCCTGTGTACAGTACGTCGGAATATCTCAGGATATTATTAGCATTCCAAGAGGCAGTGTTTCAGTATATTCAAGAATGAGATTAGATACACCTTTATGATATTTAGATTCTACATAATGAGAGATATTAAATGACAACGGATAATCGTACCCAATTAAGTAGAAGTGGGGACCGCGTAGGTGACGTCACAGCAACAAAATATTACCCATCGGTACAATTGTAGGGATTTCTCACTATAATTACTCTAATTATACGTATTTTTAGCAGAAATTAGTGAGATTTTCACTGTATGTTACGTAGTTTTAGTTGACATGCATTCATTTTCTATTGGGTTAATCTGAAAAGTCGCAACATACTGTAGGTACTTAGGACCACTACTGCAGCCTGCGCAACTTTACGTTAAGAGTTCATAGCACAGGTACTAATTTTTTCTACCAGCTCAGAATGTCAGGCCAAGAACGTGTCTTTGATCCTCGTCTTGACCTCATTTACGCACTGTCCTTGGTATCGAGTGATGTTGAGTGATATCTGATGTTGGTAATTTTCTTATAACTTTCCCCAAATCTAACAAAGTGGGTGAGAGAGATCTTAATCTAAAAGAATAACTGAAAAACCAAAGACAATCATGATGGCAGACGACCAAAGTATAGAACGAAATATATATATTGGTGAAGCAGAGGAGGGGATTGTGTGTTGCTACAGCTAGGAAGGAAAGATTATCTGATCCAACTTCTCTTCACACCTTCAAGTTTTGTTCTTCCTCCACGTCCTCCTGAGCAAAGAAAAAAAACCTCCGTCATCAACATCAGACGATAAGGTGATGCTGGAATTTCGCCTCAACACGCAAATGTTGGTGAGTACAAATTTACGTCTATATTTTGTTTTAATGTATTTATGGGGAGTTTTCTTTTAGTTGTGTATTTAGTGATGTTTAATATTGGTTTATTGAGCAATATATCTTTTTTTATCTGGTTCGGTTTAGTTCGTTATCTCAGGTGTCCTAAAATCAACTCCCACGTATCCACCCTCGCTTGATTACGCGGTCAGTGGGAAAAAATCGCTCCCTCTATACGAACTCTTTGCACTACTCACCACTTCCGCGGAACACATCCCTTCCGTATAGTTAGGACTGCCAATACTGGGAAATAAAGAAATATTAGAAGTTGTAATCTTAGATCCTTCCTCCTCCCATTTACACTTAAGCTTTTACACACGCATTTTATACCTGGTGCCTGAAAATCTGATCCATTTTCTTTCCCAACTTTTCTTTTTACTGGTTTTTTTTTTCGTAATCTGTCTCTTCGTGACCTTATTGCCATTACTTCTCTATTTTTTGTTAGTGTATATAATATAATCTGGTGACTGGATACTTTTTGGGAACAGACGTAAAACGCCCCCAACATCGCGTCCGCCAGATAATTTTTATAAAGAGTAATTTATCAGATATTTTTATACGAAGTTGGACACAAGACTATATCAGGAACGTAGCAGCAGAGTATACTAAACGTTTCTTGTCAGCAATTGATTTCAGGCAACTAAAGGGTACAGGAAAAAACAATTTATCTCGAAAACTTTATATATAATTTTCCAGGGAATGACAGTTATCCATAGGCGGGTGTGGGCGTGTAGCTTGGTGCAGGTGTGTAGGCTGGGGCGGGAGAATAGGATGGCTGGTAGTGGGGGTACTGAGCCTCTCCCTGGTAAGAGACTTGGGCCACGTAGCCAGAGTCTCCATTGACAGTGTAAGTCACCTGCTGCAGACGACCGTTGTCGGAGTAGTCGTCCTTCACAGCGTAGTTGAAGTTGTACTGGGGAACAGTCTGGAGAAGATTCATAGTGGGTTAATAAAGTGGAATATGTACAATGACTCATAGTAAAAAAAAAATTTTCCTATTCATAAATTAAAAATGATTGAGAAAAGACATGAGACTATTAAGGTGACTTACATTATAAGACGGAGCTGGACTGTAGGACGGGGCAGGCCGGTAGGAGGGAGCTGGAGTGTAGGATGGAGTGGGCCTGTAGGATGGAGTGGGCCTGTAGGACGGGGTGGGCCTGTAGGACGGAGCAGCCAATACCACACCCACCAGTGTTAGAGCAAGAACGACCTGTGTAGAGGAACGACAGACATATTTCAGTAAGCCACGACCACTAGCTGCATATAATGCACTTTCTACTTTATATTCTATGTGTAGTAATATCATTAATAAACCATATTATTAATGAAAATCTATTTCAGCTTCTAGGAAATGATCAAATGATAACAAAATAAGCGGTGACTCTGCTTTTTCTTATCAGTTCCACATAATTTCCTACTTACAAGGCGTCTCCTATAAATGTATCGTTTAGTAACAAATAACCTCAAATAACTCTGGCACTGAATTATAACAAATGGCTTTCCAATATATTACACTTTGATATAACTAAAGTTTACAAAGGAGTTGGAGCACTGTTGTGTCACTGCTTCACCTTCATGTTGTAGGTGGTGAGAGTTTGAGTGATGCTGGTCGTCCATAGTTCCTCGCTTATATACTCACTTTTCCTCAAGGCTAGTGAAGGCTGGGGAGGGGGTGAGGCAGGGCGGTGTTCTGAAGCCTCCGAGGAACGACAAGTAGGCGTGTCTGACCTCAAGTTTACTTCCCTGTCACGCCCATTGACCGGGGGTCCTTAACCTTCCACTCCAGCCAAAGTACCTTTAATACTCTATAATTTTCATAGAATGTTTGGTATGTGAGCCACTTAAGCATTGGCTGAATTTGTTCATATCTGTTATCCATGTAACGAAAAAAACCCATATTATCTGATGTGAAGGTGACTCAGCAATAATATATGAGAATAACTATTGGAGATGAACAACATAACCAGACACATAACATAAAATTGTACTGTAATGTTATGAATATCTACGACTTGTTGATTTAGTGATAATTTTATTCCTAATAAATTTCATCTGCACAAAGAATGACGTGTTAGACTTAATTAAATAAGACCAGTATAAATAAGCATAATATATAAATTCCCTTAGTTCACCAGATATTACAGGACCATTCAACAGTAAACACTCAGTTGGATCATAATTCTAATCATCTGTGCACATTACGACTCAGTAAACTTAAATAATAACGTGACCTTCCCTGAATTTAATCCAGTACTATAAGCTTTCCTTTCATCGTCGGTCAAGCTTCCTAAGTCCTGGTATTCAAGACGTAATCCAGACACTTGGCCTCCAGTGCAAAGTACGTCAAAACATCGCAGGATATTATTAATATTCGAAGAGGCAGTGTTTCAGTATATTCAAGAACGGGATAAATTACGCCTTTATATTTAGATTTTTATATCATTGAAGAGATTAAATGACAACGGATAATCGTACCCAATACAGTAGCAGCGGGGACCGTGAAGATGAGTGGGTACTGCGAAGGTGAGTGGGTACTGCGAAAGTGAGTGGGTATCGCGAAGGTGAGTGGGGATCGCGAAGGTGAGTGGGGATCGCGAAAGTGACGTCACAACAACAAAATATTCACCATCGGTCCAGTTATAGGGATTTCTCACTCTAATCACTCTAATTATACGTATTTTTTGTATAAATTAGTGATATTTTTCACTATATGTTACGTAGTTTTAGGTGATATGCATTTATTTTTTATTGGGTTAATCTGAAAAGTCGCAACCCAGCTACGTTGGACCACTCTACTGCAACCTGCGCCACTCCACAATAATACAGTAGTTCGCTGCACAGGTGTTATTTTCGAAGAACCCAGGATGTCAGGCCAAGAACGTGTCTCTGACCCTCGTCTTCACCTCATTCACGCACTGTCCTTCGTATCGAGTGGTATTGAGTGATATCTGATGTTGGTAATTTTTTTATAACTTTCCCCAAATCTAACAAAGTGAGTGAAAAGAGATCTTGATCAAAAAGAATAACTGAAAAACCAAAGCTAATTATGATGGCACACGATCCCAGTATAGGAGGAGGCTGTGTGTCGCTACAAAGAGGAAGAAAAGATAATCTGTTCAAGCTTCTCTTCACACCTTCGAGCCTCGTTTTTCATCCACGTCCTCTGGTGAAGCTCAATCATCTAGGAGACAAACTTCAGAAGCACAGTTGCCAATTTGAGCAAAGAATATACCTCCGTCATCAACATCATACGATCAGGTGATCCTGGAGTCTCGTCTCGACACGCATTGGTTGGTTAGTACTAATTTACTTTGATGTTCTGTTTTAATGTATTTATTGGAAGTATTCGTTTAGTTATATATTTAATGATGTTTGATATTGGTTTATTGAGTAATATGTCTTTTGTATCTTGTTCGGTTAGTTCGTTATCTCATGTATCCGAAAATCAACTCCCATGTACTCACCCTCTCTTGATAACGCTGTCAGTGGGAAAAAAGTGCTCCCTCTGCCTAGGAATTACAGGCATTTTATACCCGATGCCTGAAAATTTGATACATTTTCTTTCCCACCAATTTTTTTTACTGTTTTTCATAATCTGTCTCCTCCTGACCTTATTGCCCTTACTTCTCTAGTTTCCGTTAGTGGATATAATATAATCTGGTGACTTTGATAATCGCGGATACTTTTTGGAAATGGCGTAAAACGCTTCCAACATCGTGTCCGCCAGATAATTCGACTAAGAATAATTCATCAGGTTTTTCATTTCAAATTGGATACGAGTATATTAAACGATTCTTGTCAGCTAATGATGTCAGACAACTATAGGGTACAGGTAAAAACAATTTGATCTCGAAAACTTTATTTATAATTTTTACGGGAATATCAGTTAGCCATAGGAGGGTGTGGGTGTGTAGCTTGGTGCAGGTCTGTAGGCTGGGGCGGGGGAGTAGGATGGCTGGTAGTGGGGGTACTGAGCCTCTCCCTGGTGAGAGACTTGGGCCACGTAGCCAGAGTCTCCATTGACAGTGTAAGTCACAGTCTGCAGACGACCGTCGGGAAGCTGCACGTAGTACGACCCCTGGGTGTCATAGCCGTCACGAGCTTCCTCGTGGCCGAAGTCGTTGCCGGAGTAATCGTCCTTCACGGCGTAGTTGAAGTTGTACTGGGGAACAGTCTGAAAAAAAAGGATTATTAAATAATTAATGTGTATAATTTTAGCCCAAAATTCGATAAGGACTGGTTCATATTGTGATAAATTTTCAAAACGGTTCAGTTTATGGTTTACATATTTTGTTATTTACTCAGAAATTATTAAATATACATTAGAAAGACCTTGTAAAGACACAAGTGACTTACATTATAAGACGGGGCAGGCCTGTAGGAGGGAGCTGGGGCGTAGGTCGGGGCAGGAGTGTATGATGGAGTGGGCCTGTAGGATGGGGCAGGCCTGTAGGACGGGGCGGGTCTGTAGGACGGAGTGGGCCTGTAGGACGGGTCAGCCACAACCACACCCACCAGTGTTAGAACAAGAACGACCTGTGTAGAGTAACGATAGACATAATGTTCAATAATGGACGACCTTCACCACATGTCTCATTTACTGAGCTGCCGGATTGATATATGAGACAAACATTCTACAGAAGTTTACCATCCAATAATTTTTAATTTCATAGTCGTAATTTTTAATGCGGTTTTAGTGCCACCTTAAGATTAACCATCCTCACGTTTACCTAACCTAACCCCACCAAGTGCCTTTAGTGTATTTAATCATCAGGTGAAATAAACTACAAAGATTTATCATCACGTGATCTGAAACTGAATACAGACGAATATGCTCAGTGAAGTAGTTTTAGTTCACCTTCATGTTGAGAGGAACAGTGATGGAACATTGATAGTGATCGCTATGCCTCCTGGCTTATATACTGACTTTACCAAGGTCGGGGGGAGAGGAGGGGGAGGGAGAGGTTGGGGGAGAGGAGGGAGAGGGAAGGAAGGGAGACAGGGGGGTGTTCTGGAGACTGACAGGTGGGTGGGTGGGTCTCGCCTCACGTCTTACACTACTACCACGCCCACCTATCCAGACAACTTGAACTTTCCACTCGAAGCAACAAATTCCTTCAGCACTCCATAATTTTACAGAATGGTTGACAGTGCAGTTGTTGCAAAGAATGTGAAATATATTTTTCCTTTAACCATAAGAATGATACTACTACTACTACTACTACGACTAATAATAATAATATACCCATCATCATCATCATACTATCCCTACACTTTAAGCCGTAATTCCTCCTCTACACTAAACACAAAACAGTCTTACACAAATCCCTTCCTCTTACAACCTACATTTCTTTATCGGCAGCTATGAAAGTGAATCAGTTATGGTCGATGCGTTATCTGGTGAGCCAAAACATAAGATCTAAATCAAATCAGAACAAGATCTCGTATTGTTAGGAGTCTATGAATTATGGATGACAGAGTGATTTTACGTGTAGTTACTCAGTGTTGACCTGATCGATTGTGTTTCTGAAATGTTTATCTGGTTCTGCTACAGATTGGAATACGTGTATATTAGGCACCCCAACTTATTTCAACTGCTGAGTAAACACCCTAGCACTACCTTAAGGGGTTTGTTTAAGTTAGGGTGTTTAATCATCAGGTAAAACAAGTTGGGGGCCTAATCTTCACGTAAACCTCAATTGTTTTAAACTTGATATCATAAAACATTATCTTCGGTTTAGTAACAAGGGGTGGACTATATATTATAACTTTAATAGTTGTTGTCGAGTATAGAGACAGATACGTAAATGACGCTTAAAAACAGCTTTACAGTGATAAGTAGGAGTGATCAGCGCCTCCCCACACGTGATAGCAGTAAGACAGGTGAGGGCAGATACTGGTGTTGTTAAGGGGAAGACGTTGTGTAGAGGCAGAGGATGTCGTGAAAGTGCGAGAGAAAGTGAGACATAGAAAGAAAACATGAAAGAAAGGGTTATTAGGTTTTATAATTTAAGTAATGAAGGTAATGCACAATAAAAAAATAAAATTATTTTAAAAAACTTTGGCTTTATTATTAGTTTGGCGAACATAGTCCCATATTTGACACATACAGTAAAGCTGGTTAGTGATGAGTTTTTTCTTCACATTTCTAGACTAATAATAATCTTGCATAAATAATATTCTCCATAACCTTTCAGCCATATACTGGGGAGGGCCTGTATGCTGGGACAGGCTTGTAGGCTGGGGTAGGGTTATAGGCTGGGGCAGGGTTATAGGCTGGGGCAGGGGCAGGCTTGTAGGCTGGGTAATGAGCCTGCCCGTAGTAGGTGACCTCAGCCACAAAGCCAGAGTCTCCGCTAACACTGTAGGTCACCTTCTGCAGACGACCATCGGGGAGCTGCACGAAGTACGACCCCTTGGTGCCGTAATCATCACGAGTCTCCTGGTGACCGTAGTCGTTGCGGGAGTAGCCGTCCTTCACGCCATAATTAAAGTGGTACCTCGCGGGGACCTGGAGGGGGGAAGGAGAGAGAGGGGTGTCAGGACAATGATACAGAGAACAGGAATAAGTTGATGAAGACAGTGAAACAGAACATACTATATATTCTATGTAAACAGTGAAAACTTATAAACTTATATGATTTTATTGAATATTTCCACCTTCATTACCTGGTAGTACGGGGCTGTGTAGGCGGAGGCGGGGGAGTAGTCATGAGGGGGCCTCAGGGGGACAGCCACAACGGCAGCCACCAAGACCAAAACAATAATAACCTGTATGATATAGAGGTCTGTGTTAATTATACTTTATTGCCTATATTCTTGCCATTATATAGCTTGAAATTATTTGGTTAGGATTAAGTATAGATATACACCAAAACCAGAATGTGAATTTTCATTGGCCAACACTTCTCACTACTAAATTGTGATTGGTCGATGTAAGGCTCTGATCGTCTATGATACCCAGAATACTCTCGAATTAGTAAACAGAGACAGGGAGAGGAAACGGACGCGAATTGATCTATGGTTTAAGAACTGTAATTTGATTCGTTATATAGATTCGTCATTCGTTATCATTACTATTTATAACACTAGCAAAGCTCAATAAATGCGATGAACACACAAGTTTATGTGATTTTATAAATTTTGATGTATGAGGAACAATAACTTTACTCTGGGGTTATAATTTGAAGGAAAGTTTGAACAATATTAAACATGGTGGTTCATAATGTTTATATCCCTCGTGGTGATGTGTGTAGTAAAGTTGTAATACGTCTGGGTTACTGTATCATTGAAAACTGGAGACTTGATACACAGGATGGAGAAGACACGAGTCATATTAGTACCTGCGTGACATAATGTATTACAACAATATCAATCTTTCTATGTACATTAAGCCACTGTGCGATCTTCAGTCTGGAGAACTCGTCTTTTGTGTCACTTGTCGTAATACTTAGTTAGTTAGTGAGGGCGTTTATGGTGTTGCCTGATAACTAAGAGTACTAAATATGATCAAGTCATCCTGGAAGTCTTTTCATTAGTGAGAGTTGATCCCCACAAGATGGATGTTATAGCCATTGCGTCCTTCACTACTACGCTTAGAGTCAGAAGACCAACAGAGCCCAGAGAGAGTTAATACTATAGGGATACACGTAATCTATGTCGAATATCAACTTTCAATGTAAATTTGGTTAAACTTTCTGCTGTTTGTTATTAACCAAGAGACGTACAGACAAGAATAAAATAAATGAGATTTACCATTTACCTTCATATTGTTGATGATGTTGACGAGTGAGTGAGTGTGGTGCTCCCAAGCTGCCTCACCACTTATATATACATACTGTACTAGCAAGAGCCTCTGGGCGGGTCCTCCCAAAGGTCGACCAAACAGGTTTAATAAAAAAACACAAACAACATGAAGCGGATGGAAAGGTTTTGATGAGGTTAATAAGACTAAGAATATAATGAATATGTTCCAGCTTGCGTAACTTAACCAACACGCAATGCACAACCTGTTACCTGTTAGTCTCTCATCACCTGGCCAGACATCTTGACTACACCTGGCGTATGACACAACCCTCTGAGACAAACACTTCCATGAGAATTATTTCCGGTTGATTATTAAGGCGCTTGGTGGTGGTGTAGCTTCCAGTAGAGACAAGCTTAAGAGATTTATACCATCTACAGTGATATTTTTAGCCCTCAGCCGCCATGATCAGCTTAGAGGTGTCAGGAAACATCTGTAAGTTTGTCTTCCTATTATCCATTACGTTAAGACAGTTTCCCTAGAGAACTAAGCAACGTTAATAAGTGAAACAGACCAAAGGTTATATATTATTATATTATGGATCACCTGAGGATTATGCACCCCCTCTCACCTGATGATTAAACGTCCTAACGTTAACCAAATATAACGTGGCCTTACATGAAAGACTCTACTGGGAAAGTAGGTTTATCAGCATCTAGCCTTATGGCCTTGTTGTGGTGTGAGGGTCCCACAGTCCTGGAGGAAGTGACGTTTCATATTGCACGGTGGATCAGTGAGAGTTGTCGACGGGCCAGTCTGCGTTAGTGCCTACGTCACTCACCTGAGCAAAAAGCAGACCCAGCGGTACTTTACCTCACCAAGCGTAAGACCAGCTCGTCATTCCTTGTACTACTACTCAGAAAATTATGAATCGCGATTAACTCGACTATTTTATAATTTTTCATTTCACTTTCTCTGACGGGAGTAAAATCCGAGACACATTCACATAACTCGATACGGGAACACATCCTCTCTTGTCCGTCTGGATGTATGAAGACTGACAACTTAACCTAATTTAACCTAACCACCCCCCCAGGTAGCATTAGGATGCTTAATCAGGTGAAATATGCTGGGTGCCTAATCTTCAGGTAATCCCGTCAACATAACACTCTTTCATTAATGTTGATGTTGTCTGCTCATAACACTTACAATATATCATTTGGTTTTCTTAAGTTGTGGTTGTTGAGGAAGCATCATAACACCCAGAGTTTGAGGCGAAAAGATCGTCTATTAGACCAGTGTCGTCAAAGGGTTAATTCACCGTCTTCAAAAGGTTAAACCATGATCTTCAGACGGTTAAATCATCTTCCTCAAAGGGTTAAACCATCATCCTCAAAGGGTTAAGTCATCGTCCTCAGAGGTATAAATCATCATCCTCAAAAGGTTACACCATCATCCTCAAAGGGTTAAGTCATCGTCCTCAGAGGTATAAATCATCATCCTCAAAAGGTTACACCATCATCCTCAAAGGGTTAAGCTGATGACTCATATGAGAATTTTAGTCGCTATTGTTTAGTCTTTATATTATTCTGTAATAAGATCGTGTTTTTGTTGCCGTAGTTAGATGGGAAGATTTACTTGAGTGATATAATTCGTCGTTGTGGGGTTGTTATAGTACTGTGTTATGTAGGTGGAATATACTGATGTGTACTCAAAATATCTAGATGTTTGAGGATGTGTTGATAAAGAGACAGAAAGACAGGCAGACAGACTCATTCTGTTAAAAGGAGTTGAAGAGATTTAAAACAGCTGACACTATAGTATGGAAGAGTAAACAAATGTCATGCCTATAAGTTGTTCTCGTGACAATGCCAGAGAGACGTTTAGGTTAGAGGCGACCATAAGTATTTCACGTATACTGTTCTCTGACACTTCTGGGAACAACATCCACTGCGGCACATAAATGTTTAGTATACATATGGGTGTGTAACTTTGCCTCATACATGTTTTATCTCTAAAATGTATGATTCCTTTTAGAGTCTCCCGGACTGTATAATGTATTGATAGATAAAGATATATTTCTGTTTTAGAACTTTATTCATGTCGTTTACAGGTAATTCCAGTTATCAGATGTCTATGCTGTATAGTTTAGCCATACACTGGGGAGGGCCTGTAGGCTGGGACAGGCCTGTAGGCTGGGGCGGGTCTGTAGGCTGGGGCGGGCCTGTAGGCTGGGGCGGGCCTGTAGGCAGGATACTGGGCCTGCCCGTGGTAGGTGACCTCGGCCACGTACCCAGAGTCGCCATTGACAGTGTAGGTCACCTGCTGCAGACGACCGTCGGGAAGTTGCACGTAGTACGACCCCCGAGTGTCGTAGCCGTTACGAGTCTCCTGGTGTCCGAAGTCGTTACCGGAGTAGTCGTCCTTCACTGCCAGGTCGAAGTTATACCGAGCGGGTGTCTGGGGGTGTATAGAAAACTTAATAAATTGACGAATAAATCTGCCTGCGCTAACTATGTGTATTCCATATATAAATTGTAAATATAATCGTTAATGGAATCTTGTGTTTTTGTAATATTCCGGCGTTGTCTTCGTACCTGGTAGGTCGGGGTGGGGAAGTACCCATAGCGGGGCTGGAGGCTAGACGGGGCAGCTACAGCAGCAGCCACAACACTCAACACAACAACAATAACCTGTAGAGAGATGAATAATGATCAGTTTATTTCATGTTATAAGTGTAAATGTTTATAGCAGCCTAGGTGTAGTGAAGTATCTTACCTTCATGATGGTAACACTTCTCATGGATGACTGTGTTCCTACCTCACTACCTCACCCTTTATATACCAGACAGTTAGCTCCTATCTCCCATAACAAGTTGATAGGGAAGTGTTCGTCATTTGGGGTCAATACTAGTGGCCACGCCTCCCGCTCTGGTGACTTGGCTTGACCTTCCTTCCCTCCCACTCCAGGTCATGTGTCTGAATCTCACTGTTCAATGGCTGATTAACTTGTTTGATTTTTGTTATGGATGGTCTAGTTTTTCTCACATATTTCTTTGTTAATGTTGTTACTGAGGAGGGAAGAAGGTCAGGTATTGTGTATAGAGACAAGTGGAGGTGAGGAAACATCTCCTTCAAGGTTAATTAATATAGATCACCTTTCTCGGCAGGTGAGGGTGAATACGTATACATTCATTCAACACAGTGGCGTGAGAACCAGCAGGAACTACGCGCGTACACACACACACACACACATATATAGTCGCCCCCTTTTATGACGACATAACCAAGTGACGCAATATAAACAGGTCTCCTTCCACCCTAACTCTTTGGTGACAGTAATCACGTCACGTTAGCGAGGGAACATCCACACAGAGAGTTAAATTAGTTCAGGTTACTCAGATGGCTCAGTTAGTTACGTCAGTGTGTTGAATCAGTCGGTAATGTCGTTTAGTTAAATTAGTCCGTCACCTCTACATCCTTGTCTCTCTCACACCCCTACCTCCTCCTCCACTAATTCTAAGCCTCCACCACCTCCTCCACCAATACTAAGACCCTCCACCACCTCCTCCACCAATACTAAGCCTCCACCACCTCCTCCACCAATACTAAGCCTCCACCACCTCCTCCACCAATACTAAGTCCGTCCACCACCTCCTCCACCAATACTAAGAGCCTCCACCCACCTTCTCCACCAATACTAAGCCTCACCCACCTCCCCCACCTACGCTAATCCTCACCACCCCCTCCTCACCACCTTCTCCATCTCCACCCTCTCCACCTACGGAATGATTCACGTAGAAGCAATGAACAACTTATTTAGAACTATCATAGCAGCTACATCACAACAGTTCACCAATGATGTTCTCACGGTGTATGATGATGAGTGTGTGTGTGTGTGTGTGTGTGTGTGTGTGTGTGTGTAACGTGAAAACCAATCCATACTCCACAAAAACAACGTGTAGTCCACCTCGTCCCTGGCCCACCACAAATCCTCAAGACTCACGAAGTAGCATAAAGACCTGATAGTGAGGGGCAATTCGTGTTTGATCTCAAGGCTGTGGCAGGTCACCAGAGAAGGAGGAGCACTGTTGACATGAATATTTTTCCTTCATAACAAAACCGATGATCTTTACCCATGACAAATACATCTATATAATGTGTGTGTGGGGAGAGTCAGAAGTCAGTTTATTATGTATGGTGAAACTCTGAAAGCAAAATACAATGTGTAATGTTATGTAATGTTTTGGCCACAGCAGCGTAAATAATGCATCGATTTGTTCTGACATTCACTAAAAAAATCACTTGTTGTTTTTGTTGAGTGGAGTGGGGGTGGGGAGTAAAGAAAGGAGGGAAGGAGAGGAGGAGGAAGGGATAATAAGAAGTAGGGAGGTAGGTTGCGAGAGAGGGAGGAGGTAAGGGAGAAGGGGGGTATAGAAAAGAAGGAGGGAAGAATAGGGGGAAGGGACGATAAGAAAAGGGGAGGGAGGAGAGGAGGAAAGGAAGGAGAGGATGAGGAAGGAAGGGGGAGGTAAAGAAGCAGGTAAAAGGGGGAAGGTGAAGGCAGGCAAGGAGGGAGGGAGAGAGGGAGGGGCGGGGGGTAATTTTACAGAGAACATGATACTGCTTATAATTATCAACTATAAAACTTATTAATAGCAAAAAACTTTAAACCTTCGGATATAACAACAACAACTACACCCATATTGACTAACTTCACCACTAACAAGGTCTCTCTCTCTCTCTCTCTCTCTCTCTCTCTCTCTCTCTCTCTACTCTAAATGTTTTATTGGTTAACACAAAGACATCAACAGGTAATAAATGTACTCCCTGACAGGTAAACCATGAACATTGTGTAAATATGGAAGTTTTCAGTGCCAGGGTGGAAGGTTATGGCGTATGTTCGTATGTCCAGTGTCTTTATCTTCTGATTTATACTTACCTGCCAGTCTTTCCATTTACTCTCTCTCTCTCTCTGTCATCCCTTACTCTCCCCGCTGCCATTCCTACTCTTCCTGCCACCCTTCTTACTCTCCCTGACACCCTTCTTACTCTCCCTGCCACCCTCTCTCTCTCACTGGACAAGAACTCCCATGTTGTGGTGAAGGTCTCAGTTAAACTCCCGACAGGTGGTGTTGACGAGGAGGGATGGGAGGGGGTAGGCATGACGTGGTGAGATGGGGAGGGGTAGGCATGACGTGGTAGGGATGGGGAGGGGGCATGACGTGGTAGGGATGGGGAGGGGTATGACGTGGGGATGGGGAGGGGGCATGACGTGGGATGGGGAGGGGGGGCATGACGTGGTAGGGAGGGGGAAGTATAACGAGGTTAGAGAGGGTGGGAGGGGGCAGAGGTATGTAGGTGCTGGTCAGGTTAACACTGCTCTGGTAACCTGCCTACAACCTTGAGTATAAACACGACCTCGTCACCCTCACGACCCAGGTCTTCAGGTTGCTCCGTGAGTATGGTTGACTGGTTGACTGGTATTGTTGGTCAAGGACGAGATGGTTGACATAATGCTTTTGTGAGGGTACAGTCTCTCTCTCTCTCTCTCTCTCTCTCTCTCTCTCTCAATGGGGTAAATATGGTGAAGTTGCTGACAAGATAATTGTAAACTTGCTCTTCACTCCATCATACATGAATGATTGAGGGGTTACCTACAACATGTGTGTGTGTGTGTGTGTGTGTGTGTGTGTGTGTGCACTGTAGAAATTACTCGTACATCAATTGAAGTATATACTGTACGTATGAATGTATGTTATCGGTTTAGATAGATAGATAGATGACACCGACACACAATACCCTATTCTTCCTCCTTCTCTTCCTCCTCTCTTCTTCCACCCCCTCCTCCTCCTCATCCTCATCTTTTCTTCTCCCTCCTTTTCCTCCACCTCCCTCATCACATAACACACCTACCACCCATAACACCTGGAGGGGGAGGGGAGATGTTCCACCTGGCCTCCACCTCCACCTCTACCTCCACCTTATAATAATAGCCTCAGTGGCCTCTTATCCACAAAAACGTGACCTCCTCTCTCACCGCTTGACCTCTTATGGGTGGAGGCAATATTTCCCAGGATGATACATCTTCCAGTCCTCTTTATGTTTCCACTATTTTTAAAACTTTGGGTAAACTAGTAATTTGTTTAATATATTTTGCTTATTTTTTGTTTTAGATGTATTTGTTATAGGTACTGACGGGGTAAGAGTTTGTACTGGTGTTTGGCTTTCAGCTATCGAGATAATTAAGGCTAAACCAAGTGATTAAACTAACTACCTGACTGACTAAATTATCTAAAAAAATAACTAATTAACTAATTAACTAACTAACTAACTATCATGACTAGCTAACGCGATTGTCTTTTCTCTGCTTGATATCAACTCACAATTACCCCACAATTAGGTCACACACAGATTGGTTACGTTGCATCATCGTGTTTCATCTCCTGTGTGTTGTGTTAGTGTACGTGTATTAGGTGTGACAGGTGTTAATTAGATGTATGTACTCTTGGTGATACTTGTTCTCATGACTGTGTATTGGATAATGATGATGATATTTCTTTGCTGGAATTCGGGGGCCTCGCGAATTCTGCATTTTCTTCAAAATCAAAATCTAAACCAGCCATGGAATCGAGTTCTAATTGCGCTCATTGATGCGGCATCCTCAGAAACCCCTTCTTGGCTAAAGCTTTCTTTGCGAAATTAATTTCAGAGCGATTAGAGCAATATTAAAGGAAATACAGATACATTTATTTCCAGGAAGTGTCCTCTGTTAATATTGCTATTACTGGCCCCAGGGTATATTTTATCGGTTTCGAAAGTAAATAATACCCCCAAATTGAATTCCATATATATGTTTGCTGGGTGTAGTAAAATTTTGGTTGGTATATCACCCTGAAGAGGGATTAGAGCAATATTAAAGGAGATTTGGAGACTTTACCTTTCAGGAAATGATGAAATCTGGAGCTTTCAACACTGGAGATGTTGACAGGAAATGGCATATTCTTCTAAATGCCAACTGACACTCTGTAGTCCATTCAAATGGTTTGTTTGGACTCCCTAAATCTGTGAGGCGCGCTGCAACACAAGCAAAGTTAGGGCAAGATTTGTTGTAGAAGCCAGCGATTCCCAGGAACCTCATGACTTCTTGTCGGTTGTTAGAGACATGAAACTCCTTTATAGCTTCCAACTTGGCTGCTACAGTACAGGCGACAATTTCCCATAGCCAACCACATGCCCTAAATATGTTACCCGAGCATGACCAAATTCACACTTGGCTAGATTTACAGTTAGGTGGTAGTATGCCTTTCGTTGGAATAGCTCTCTCAGGTACTTCATATGTTCCTCCCAAGTGTTTGAAAAAGGACAAAATCATCGATGTAGACTCGCACATTGTGGAGCCCCGCTACCACTGTGTTCATTAATCGTTAGAATGTGGCAGGTGGATTTTTCAGGCCAAACGACATCACACGATATTGATATAGACCATCCGGTGTCACAAAGGCAGATATCTTCTTAGCCCTGCAAGTCAGTGGCATCTGATAATACCCCTTCAGCAAGTCATGGGTGGTGATGTACTTGGAGTCTCCGATCTCATCAATCCTGTACAAGTCTGTCCGGGTGATCGCACTGACTTTGCGATAATCGGTGCACAACCTTTTGCTGGAGTCAGTTCTTCTCGTATATTCTGGGAATGTCAATGGCATTTTGCCATCTGCGACACCTGTCAAATTCGTATCAAGTGAGTCGGAGTTACTGATGAAGCTGCTGCCTCTGATTTGAAATGATTTGGAATGTATTTCAGTATACACTTGCACATTTTCACTGTAACTCACAAAAGGTTAAATACTTAAGTTACCTATCTCTGTCCTTTGGAAACCGATGAAAATTAAAATGTGGATGTGTATCCTTTCTCCTTTTGCAAATAACGCAGGGATGCGATCTACCCGGCATGAGGCTTCCAGAAGTCTTGGCTACTGTTGCCAGTGGGGAAAAATCAAATCGTATCCACAGAAGTATTAAAAAAGTAAAAACGTATCCATAATCTTCTAAAAAGTATCCAAAAAGTATCCACTTTTTTCTTTAATAAAATGACGAATTTCTTAGTATCTATGACAACAAAGTTAAACTGAAATATAATGGTATCATCAATAATTTTACTGGTTATAGAATGGCTGTAGTCCAAGAGTTTGAAAATAAACAGACGACAACGTTACGTCAGAGAAGAACGACTCCAGCGCCATCCTAATTCTCGACTACATAAAATGACGTCACTGTGGCTTGAGGTCCCAGCTAGTATTATTACCGACTATTTTACACTCATTCCTGTCTTGAGTATACAGTCTTTGGTGCAACTGTTTCGGTATATAGTTCAAGCTTTATGAAGTGCTTCCGATATAATGAATCACCTGCAGTTTTGCATCACCTGTAAGAGATATGATATATTATGAGCTGTTAAAGTTAAAGCATCATATTAGTGAAGTGTCAGTAACAAACACTCGTATCTTAAGGTAGAACATATCTTATGAATGAGGAAATATTGGTTCATACGAAACAGTAAACCCGAAGCACAAGGATTCACTCAGAAGGCTTCAAACTGCTCATCACATGTAAGATCCCTTCATAAACACTACTATTAATCATAGACTTTATCCCATATTAAATTGTTTGTTATAACTTACAACAACATTACCATCTCTAACAAAGCATAACATGACCTAATTAACTTAACAGTTAATTATAGACGCATCCAGTTCTAAATCTATCACAGTGTGGGTGACCGTCACCTATTTGGATTTTTTGTAGGATTGGTGAAATAAAGAAATGTTTTGCTTGTTTTCCTACTTAGCTTTATTAATAACTTATATAACTGTTAATTTACAATTATCATATATATGTTTTAACCATACACTGGGGCTGGATTGTAGGATGGGGCTGGCCTGTAGGATGGATACTGAGCCTCGCCTTGATAGGTGACCTCGGCCACGTACCCCGAGCCGCCGTTGACAGTGTAGGTCACCCGCTGCAGACGACCGTCGGGAAGCTGCACGTAGTACGACCCCTGGGTGTTGTCACCGTTACGAGTCTCCTCGTGGCCGAAGTCGTTACCGGAGGGAGCGTCATTCACCGCCCAGTCGAAGCTGTACTGAGCAGGACCCTGGGAAGAGAGGGGTAGAGGAGCATGTAACCTGGGTATTTTAGAACGTGTCTAAATGAAATCATCAGTTATTACCGCCATGTATCTCTTTACGGATAAAGAGATGAACGATCGATATAATATTCATTAAAAGCTTCTTATAATTGACATAATGTTATGTTACGGCGTTGTCTCCCCGTACCTGGTAGGTCGGGGCGGGGGAGTACCCATAGCGGGGCTGGAAACTGGACGGGGCAGCCACAGCAGCAGCCACAACACTCAATACAACAATAACCTGTAGAGAAAGAGTATGAACTTCTACAGTATATATTATAAAGGAATGTGATGACGTACTTTGATCAATTATGGTGGCTAAGACTTAGAACATATACACAGGTAATGGCTTAGAGGTTTTATAATGAAGACACAGACACTAAACTGTAAATATGAATGTGTCGGAGAATCTTGTCAGTATGAAACACAACTAGAACAATGTCTTCCCCTGAGATAATGACCATCTCCCAGCCTATACCTTACTACTCATATCAACCTTAAGTACATGTTATAATAAATGAACTTCAGTAAAAAGCTTGTATGTCAATGAGGAATTGTAGATGCTGTTAATAGTGTCTGTCTAGATCCGTTAACCAGTATAGGTGGTGAAGTATCTTACCTTCATGATGGTAGCACGTCTCATGGATGACTGTGTTCCTACCTCACTGAGTCACTCTTTATATACCAACCAGCTGTCTCTTATCTCCCTGATGGGAAGGTATTGGTCATGAGGTCAATACTAGTCGCCACGCCTCCCGCTCTGGTGACTTGGCTTGACCTACCTTTCCCCCCACACTCAGCCTCACTCCAGGTCAAATCTCTGCCTAAGTCTCACTGTTCAATGGCTGATAAACTTGTTTGAGTTTTATTCCAGATGATTGAGTTTTTCTAGCATATTTCTTTGTTATTGCTGTTACTGAGGAGGGACGAAGGTCAGCTATTGTGTATAGAGACAAATGGAGGTGAGGAAACATCTCCTTCAAGGTTAATTGACACAGGTGAACTACGATATAGAGAGTGAGTCGAATATTGCCAAATATATTTTTCGAATAAATTCCAAGTACAGAGCACAGTTTCTCTACCCTGACCTTGACGTATGAGCTAATTTCACAACATTGGCATTGGTCACCATTAAAGGAAGCCGTGACCCCTAATGACCTGTGTGATACCAGTTTATGTGGCCAGATGCTTCCCCTGACGAACTTACCATCTGACATGAATTAATCAGTGTAATCTCTTGTGTCTCTGGTAATTAACTGTTATTATTATTATTATTATTATTCATCATCATCATCATCATCATCATCATCATTATCATCCAATACACAGTCATGAGAACAAGTATCAACAAGAGTACACACATCTAATTAACACCTGTCACACCTAATACACGTACACTAACACAACACACAGGAGATGAAACACGATGATGCAACGTAACCAATCTGTGTGTGACCTAATTGTGGGGTAATTGTGAGTTGATATCAAGCAGAGAAAAGACAGTCACGTTAGCTAGTCATGATAGTTAGTTAGTTAGTTTATTGAGGTAGTTAAGTCAGGCACGTAGTTAGTTAGATTAGTTGGTTCTGTTAGATATTTTAATCGCTCGGTTTAGGTTAAATTATCATGAGGGTTTGTTTGTGTTCGCGATTATTTCACTTCATTCCCACTCTCATATTAACCACGTACAGTACACCAGCGCCACCTACACCAACTACTACCTACACCACCTCCATCTACACCCCCTACTACCTACACCACCTCCACCTACACCCCCTACTACCTACACCACCTCCACCTAAACCCCCTACTACCTACACCACCTCCATCTACACCCCCTACTACCTACACCACCTCCACCCCTCACTACCTACACCACCTCCACCACCTCCACTACCTACACCACCTCCATCCTACCCCCCACACCCCACTACCCCACCAACCCCTACTACCCACACCACCTCCCCTATCCCTACACCACCCCTCCACCACTCCCTACCTACACCACCTCCACCACCCCCCTACCCACACCACCTCCACCCAGACCACCATACCCACCACACCACCTCCATCCACCACCCTCTACTACCCACACCACCTCCACCTAAACTCCCACTCACCTACCACCTCCACCCACACCCCTCTACCACCCTACACCTCTACTACCTACACCACCTCCATCCCACACCCCTACCCACACACACCCATCCCACACACCCTACCACACCACACCACACCCCACTACCTACACCACCCCACCCCCCACCACACACACCCCCACTACTACCACACCTACCCCTACCCTACACCATACACCCACTACCACACCTCCCATCTACACCCCTACCACACACCACCCCACCCCACACCTACCCACCCACTACACCCCCACACCACCTCATCACCCCCCTACACCTACACCACCTCCATCTACACCCCCTACTACCTACACCACCTCCACCTACACCCCCTACTACCTACACCACCTCCACCTAAACCCCCTACTACCTACACCACCTCCATCTACACCCCCTACTACCTACACCACCTCCACCCCTCACTACCTACACCACCTCCACCAACCTCCCTTTATCCTCACGCCTCACGCAAAACTCAATTGATCACCTGAAGAACCTCCACCCCAACTTATTTCACCTTAGCATTAACCATCCTAACATTAACCTAACTTTATGGCGATTGCAATAGTAATAAGATAACTAACGTATAAAACCTTTGAGTAATGTTCAGAATACAATTAAGGTTTATAAGTTCCCACCGTGGTTACTTGGGGTAGTGGAATCATTTTAAACCACGTCAAGAATGGTTAGTGTTTCCTAAGAAGAGGAGAGAATAGTTTTTATTTAGTTTCATCTGTTGGAGTTTTAGCGTTTTGTTTTATTATTATTATTAGTATTAGTAGTAGTAGTAGTAGTGGTAGTAGTATTTTTATTATTATTATTATTATTATTATTATTATTATTATTATTATTATTATACTTGAAAATTATTTGATACTTAACGGTTAACTATATGTATAATTTCTATGTATATCTTAAATTATACCTGAACAAACATGTATCATTTAACATATATCTACGGGTATAATCGTTACGTATAATGAATAAGAATCTGTTATTTAAATATCAAATTCACGTATTATAAGCAAGCATGATCATTGCTTTTGTTTATGTCTAGCAATAATGTGTAGTAAACATCTGTGCATGAATATTGCTTTTGTTTATGTCTAGCAATAATGTGTAGTAAACATCTGTGCATGAATATTGCTTTTGTTTATGTCTAGCAATAATGTGTAGTAAACATCTGTGCATGAATATTGCTTTTGTTTATGTCTATCGTATTTTTCTTGCTGCTTTGATGTAACTTTATGCTCAGTCTGCTTTAAATAACAAATATACTTCAGTAATTCGGTGAGATTGTGAATAATTAATATTGGTGTAGGATTCAGGTATTATTTTATGTGACTGAGTTACTAACCTCTTGTCACGCCTGAAAACACCTTTTGTACGAGTTTTTCAGTGAGTAAGCGAGTGTAGTGATGATAAGAGTGACTGTCATTATGTCAATTTTTTGGATTATCTGTAATTCATTCTTTTTGTTTTTTCTCTAATGATCATTTAAGTTCTTGTCATGCATAATGGTGAAAATATTTCCTTTTTTACACCTTTTTTGTAGTGTTTTATCTATAAGTGTATTACTATTTCGGATACTAAGTGTTTTTATGAGCATTACCAACCTTAGGAAATAGAATGTAACTACGTGACTTCATTTACTGGTAAGGATGAATTCTCTTGATGTGGCAAATAATATAAGAAATATCATATTCATATATTGGAGCAACTCGGTGATAAAAATATAATATCTTTTTTTATTTATAATTCAGAAATAACATAAAAGACATTCGCAATGGTCATATGAACTTCAACCATACTCTAGGGCTGGTCTCTAGGCTGAGGCAGTTGAGTAGGGGGTACTGGAAGGGGGTACTGAGCCTGTTCGTGGTAGAAGCCCTCGGTCACATACCCAGAGCCGCCGTTGACAGTGTAGGTCACCTCCTGTTGACGACCACCAGGAATAAAAACTCATATACTGTATGTTAAGAGTGTTGAGAGGGACGTTGGTTGAGAGGGAGTGATAGAGAAGGAGAATGGGAAAGAATGTACACAGACTCGTAAACATCACCTTGTTAATATAAGATTTCTTGTCATTATCGAGCCCACGAGGACGTCTTTGAGGCCAATGTTTTCTTATGTTGGAATTCCCTTCTGTGGAATCAGTATAACAAAACTCCTTATAACCTGGACTGGCTCTGTGTAACTCCCTGCCACTAATTGTTTCTCCTATGTTCTTATGTTAAGTATCCGTCAGTTCTAACCATTCTGCTTTTATTTTCTATTGTCTTTGGCCAGGTAATGCCTCTGAGAGTAAATATGACACGAAACTTGTTATAATATCATAGTTAAGGTTATAAACTATTTAAAGCAAGTTATCCCTATATACAGTATGTAAACGGTTTCTCCTTGAATAATGTCAAAAATATCTTAATTTGTTCATATATCTAACAAATCTGTCATACGTGGCCCTCATCACCCCACAAAGGAACACAGGTAGTAAACAATGACGTTTTGCTGCAGTTCTCCCAGACAACAACCTCAATAAAATTGTACCACACGAATCTTTGTTTTTTAAGTTTCTCTGCACAATCTTATATAAATATGTATATCTCGACAGTGATGAGAGAATACTATGTAATTTTAGCTGCAATATCGTGACAGTTTGTATATAGTGTGTTGGCGTTACGTAAGTTTGACCAATTTTAGATAATTTCTTGTCTTGTTCAGCACCTTTGCAGCCCCTCCCGCCTCCCTCAATATGACACTCTTCTGATTATGTTTTTAAACCAGTTTTATCGACCTTGGTGAGGACCCGCCCAGAGTCCTCGGTAGGTATATAAGTGGTGAGGTGTCTGGGATGACCACAGTCACTCACTGACTCCTTCACCAGCATCATCAACATCATGAAGGTAAAACTCTCACATTTATTACGTCACTCACTATAATTCTCTCACTCACTCATCTTGACCATCCACCAGTGTGTAAGATCACTCAGGTAAACGTATTTAGTTTTCTATTGTAGTCGAGGGAACCTTTTTGTGCCATAACACACACATACCATACCAATTTAACTGTATTGGTTATTTATACTTCTCAGCAGATTAAATCAAAAATTTTATTTCATCATTCAGAAAATGAATAGTTTACCCAGATATATCAGAATGTTTAGATATAGATAAACAATACGGGAACAAAACAACATTAGTTCTCTGTTTATGTAAGTGATTAGTGAACATTTGTCTTGCTTAATACTTTAGTTAAAACTAATAGGCAAGATCAATTAATAGCGAGATATACTGTTTGGAACTTTTTGGGAACTTACTCGTAGGGTCGTCAATAAAACTAAGATTATCACATGTATCATCAAACAGGTGGTTCTCGCCCTGACTCTGGTGGCTGCCGCTGTGGCTCTCCCGTCCTACGCCCCATCCTATTCGGTAATAAACACGGATAATGTATTTGTGAAATTAATTTACTTATATTTAGTAAGTTTAGTTCAGAATGTATCAGCGTGTTTTACATATAAGAGAGTAACTTCTCACGAGGGGTTTGGTTAGTCATCTACTATACTTGGGTGGAGACAAGTTATTCAGAAGACTTACTTTACTCTCCTCCTCCCAGGGTCCTGCTCAGTACAACTTCGAGTGGACCGTGAATGACGGTCCTTCCGGTAACGACTTCGGCCACCAGGAGAATCGTAACGGTGACAACACCCAGGGGTCGTACTACGTGCAGCTTCCCGACGGTCGTCTGCAGCGGGTGACCTACACTGTCAATGGCGGCTCTGGGTACGTGGCCGAGGTCACCTACCAGGGCGAGGCTCAGCATCCATCCTACAGGCCAGCCCCATCCTACAACCCAGCCCCAGTGTATGGTTAAAACATATAATCATGACCATTGTGATTTAAATATTATGTAATTTATCAATAAACCCCCCAACTATAATGACTTACTTTATTTAAAATATTTATATAACCCTGTAGAGGCCTTTTTACTTTCCTTGTTCTGTTTTCAATGATATTTAATAAAAGTAAAAATAGTGCTTATTATCTTTTTTTCCTCTCTCTCTCTTTTCTGGTTTTCTCTAAGAATTTTGAATTCTTGATTATTTAGTATTTCGCAGCCTAAGATTATTCTTTAAATGCTTCGTCCATAAAATTGTTCACTTCAAAATCATTAAAAGTAGTTACCTGAACGACATCACGTTGTTAATGTCAATCATCAGGTAAATATATAATAATGATATTTATTCAGTAAAGTTGTTATACTGCTTTACAATTGAATAAGCATATTTATAAACTAGGCAGTTATATAGTTCAGCATTAATATTGACAAGGTTGGTATACGGTGCATTTAGCTTGTGGTAGTATACAGTTTCCTGTGTGCCGAGACAGTGCTGGTAAACAACAATGGTAAACAGTAAGACAATTTGACCAAGGATAACCGACAAAGCTGTCAGATGCTTATTTCCAGGAGGGTCCTTTTCTTAGGTGAAATTTACCAGTGAATTATTGTAACTTGTGACCTGTAACCAAACAACGCCAGCTGTATCATTATGCTATTTTTGTAAAAGTTGTAAGATTATGTATTATGTATCCGTAATATGTAGAATATACAACATACTGATTCTCCTAATGACAACAGTGTCCTAGGATTAGTCGTGACTTCTCAGTTCACTGTTGATGGTTCTCCTTTATCGTATATACTAAGACATAATTAGAAAGACTCCATCAAGCAGAACAATTATTTCCGCTCAATCAATAGAGAAAAGCAGGAAACTGATCTAACGAACGCAGCAAAAAGACAAAATTGATGGGAAAAATCTGTGTCGATTTTTCAAGAAACTTATAATCCGTTTTTCGGTGTTTTATTACTAAATATGATCTTACGTCCACTGGATGCAATGAAATTTCATAGTATGTGATATAAAGTCTTATCTCTTTATGTTATGTAAGTTGACATTTCTATAAATTATGAAAGTTATCATCGTTTTTTCTCAATTATATATGGATGGTATAAACCAGACGAGTTTTAATAGGGAGTCTTACGTATCATTGTTTTAGTAATATTGTAATGTAATTTTCTAAAACCATAGACTGGGAGGGACAAACAGAAAACATCGTTGTATCATTGTATATAAAACATTAATACTAAATAAACGTCAGAATAATGTTATTTTCGCTCGTTAATTCTCTAGTTATTTATTTGTCATAATAGTACGGATTTGAGAGCATAGTGGTGATGGTAATATTCAATTATAGGTAGTTTGATAAAAACGAGTGAAATCATCATCACCATCATCATCATCACAATCATCAAGTCCTAAGTCATCGTCTAGACATCTTCAGTCTTACATGATATGTGTTTTCCTCAGTTCAAGATGACCTCCATCAGCTGACCTTCCCTCACCCAGTCTACACAGGCACGAACCTATACAAGCTGCTGGACAGGTTATTCTTGCCTAGACTCCATTCACAGTCATCTTTATCTCATGTTGACTTGTTGCCAGAAACACAGTAACAATGTTGTATAGTTTACACGGACACTAATGGTGGACTGGCGTGGTAGTCTGCTACTGTGAGGACGAGACGGCGCTTCAAATACAAAATTTCATTTTCTTCTCATTATAATTGTTTTGTTGTCATTACCAACTCTACACGCAGACAAGTTAAGAGATTATCACAGGCAAATTGTTCATCTGTTGAAGAGTTGGACGTTGTGCCTTGAAAAATAGACCTGATATCTAGTACCATATAATTGATCTTTATCTTTAGTTATACTTCTATAATATCCTTATAAACAATTTTCATTAAGCAAATTATCATTATTATTCAACATAGGAGCGACATTTTTATTACTCCTCTCAAGATTTTTTATTTTTTTAATTATTCTTAACTTTAATTAACATGTGTATCTCACCAGTGATGAGAAATGAATTGGCAGTGTTTGGTGCAGGTTTTAAGAGCTTATGTAGACTATGATGGTCTTACACAAGATTGACCCAATTCATGACATCTCTTGTCTCACTGAGCACCCCCAGAGCCCCTCCCTCCGCCCTCATCGTGTTACTCTTCAGGAAATATTTTTAAACCAGTTTTGTCGACCTTGGTGAGGACCCGCCCACAGTCCTCGGTAGGTATATAAGTGGTGAGGCGTCTGGGATGACCACACTCACTCACTGACTTCTTCACCAGCATCATCAACATCATGAAGGTAAAACTCTCACACTCACCCACTCACTCACTCACTCACTCACTCTCCTCGTGTGTATCAAAGCAGCAAGATCTTTACTAACGTTTGATTCTTATAAGTTCATTCATAAATAGATAGTGGCGTTTAAGTCACTCCAACTCCTTAGTTCTGGCACATTATGCAACACAACGAATACTGGAATAATGACCCAGAGGAACATCATTGCATATTATGATTAGGGACAAACACACCACATGTGTATGAGACTCAAACTCTACAGACTGCGAGTATATATAAACAGAGTAAGTCGTCGTAATTCTCTCCATTATTCAGAAACAAAATAGTTTATTCAGATGTTACAGTACAGGGACAGATTTATGCCTAAATTACAGGAATACATGACAATCAATTAGTCAATTCCCATATAACTGTACAGAAACTCTGGACATGAGTGTTAGTTCTAAATGACATTAGGTAAATATTTGCCAGCCATTATATATACACAAGTTTGTTTAGCATCACTTAGTAATGACAGTTGATATTTGCAGCCTCACCACAGGGTCACTGATAAAATAATATGAATAATTGTCACACATGTGTCATCACACAGGTGGTTCTCGCTCTGACTCTGGTGGCCGCCGCTATGGCTGCCCCGTCCAGACGTGGCTACGGCTTCTCCCCAGCCCCCGTCCCTGCCCCTGCCCCGTCCTACAGACCAGCCCCGTCCTATAGGCCAACTTATGTAATAAATATAGTTTTTTACGTAGATAACGTGCTTAAGAATATCACTTGTTTATATTTGAAAGTTCAGATAAGAATGTATTAAGTGTTTTCCAGGATAATTTATTACTAGTGCTTTTGTTTCATTTCTACTGTACTTAAACAAGTTATGAAGAAGACTTATTACACTTTCCTATTCCCAGGGTCCTGCTCAGTACAGCTTCGACTGGGCTGTGAATGACGCTCCCTCCGGTAACGACTACGGCCACGAGGAGACTCGTAACGGTGACAACACCCAGGGGTCGTACTACGTGCAGCTTCCCGACGGTCGTCTGCAGCGGGTGACCTACACTGTCAATGGCGGCTCTGGGTACGTGGCCGAGGTCACCTACCAGGGCGAGGCTCAGTATCCATCCTACAGGCCAGCCCCATCCTACAACCCAGCCCCAGTGTATGGTTAAAACATGACCATTGTGATTTAATTATTATGTAATTTATCAATAAATCTCTACAAAAATTATTTATTTTATTTAAAATGTTTATATAACCCACTAAGAGCCTTTTTTTACCTTTCTTTTTCTGTTTTTAAGAGTAATCAGTAGAGGTTATCAGAATATTGCTTATTGTCTTTCTTCCTCTCTCATCTTCTCTCTCTCTTTTGGTTTCTACAAAATATTCGAGTTTATGATTATGTAATACTTGGTAGTCAATAAGGTCAAGATCTGCGACCAAACAACACCACTTGTATTATCACGTCAGACAACTTGTATAATATGTTACCTTGATAACAAAGGTATGATTTCCTTTTCATTTCATCACTTTTTTTATTATATATCAGTAATAAGCAGCAGATGCGAGATTTATTCTTCAATAAACTGATTCTCAAAACGACACAGGAGTGTCCAAGGGTTAGTTCTGACTTCTAAGTGCATTGTTAACGATCCAGCTGTGTTGCATAAGACGTAGATGAAGAGACTCCTTCAGTCATTTTGGACAGTCAAGAGAGAAAATGTGGACACTGAACTGACTATCGCACCCAAAGGACAATGTTGATGGAGGTGAATCTATGTCAACTTTTCGATCATTTGTTAACTCATTCCTCAGTGGTTTATATCAACACCTCAGGTAATTTCTTTAAATAGAATGGTACCTTTTGTGATTTAAGAGTATAATTAGGTAATATAACATCTCAGTTCTATTAGTATAACAGTTTTGTTATTTTATCATAATGATAATTAGACGATTTGAACCATGTGGCTTTTAATAGATAGTTTAAAGTTTCATTATGCACACTGTCCTGTACTTCTCTAAGACTTAAACTGGGAGGAACAAACAGCAAACAACATTGATAGAAATAAATGATGTTGAAATAAACGGCAAAATAATAGTATCTCTACCCTTTTATTTTACAGTTATTTATTTTGTCGTAACAACAAGAAAATAGAAGTTATTAGAGTACAATGGTTAAGGTAATATTCTTACACATGTAGTTAAACATGAATAACTAATATGATCATCATCGTCATCATCATCATCATCTTCACTTCCTAAGTAACAATGTCGCATAGTTTACCAGAAGACTAATGGTAGAGTGGCGTGGTAGTCTGCTACTGTGAGGGCGAGACGGGTTGGTGGGAGGTGTCCACGATCCTGCTGATGTTATTGTTGGTCTTACAGTTTTAAGTTCCTCTATTGTTCTTATTCCCATTAACAGCCTCGGGGAATAATCCCATATGTCCCCAATACACAGACAAGTTAAGGAGTATTATAAGCCATATGTTCCCTATTACAGTGTTTGACGTTTTAGTGAAATAGATCTGGCAGCTTCTTCTTGTATCAAATTGTTGATTATTATCATTCATTCTGATATCATTCTATTTTATTCTTAACTTTTGTTATTTCGGATACTTGCTTCTTATTGCCCCATAACAAAGCAACTGCTGGACAGTCTTATTCCTCTTCAGCCAGACACAACCTGAATAAAAATGTCTTTTTAAGAATAATATTTTCTTTATTATTCAAAATCATTAATTAATTTGTAATTGTCACCGATGATGAGAAATTATTTGGTAATTTTAACTAAAATAATTTAAGAGCTTCACCCAATTCATAACATCTTTTGTGTCACTGAGCACCTACACAGCCCCTCCCACCTCCCTTATCGTGATTATCTTTAGAAAATATTTTTAAACCAGTTTTGTCGACCTTGGTGAGGACCCGCCCACAGTCCTCGGTAGGTATATAAGTGGTGAGGCGTCTGGGATGACCACACTCACTAACTGATTCCTTCACCAGCATCATCAACATCATGAAGGTAAAACTCTCACACTCACCCACTCACTCACTCACTCACTCACTCTCCTCGTGTGTATCAAAGCAGCAAGATCTTTACTAACGTTTGATTCTTATAAGTTCATTCATAAATAGGTTAGTGGCGTTTAGGTCACTCCAACTCCTTAGTTCTGGCACATTATGCAACACAACGAATACTGGAATAATGACCCAGAGGAACATCATTGCATATTATGATTAGAGACAAACACACCACATGTGTATGAGACTAAAACTCTACAGACTGCGAGTATATATAAACAGAGTAAGTCGTCGTAATTCTCTCCATTATTCAGAAACAAAATAGTATATTCAGATGTTACAGTACAGGGACAGATTTATGCCTAAATTACAGGAATACATGACAATCAATTAGTCAATTCCCATATAACTGTATAGAAACTCTGGACATGAGTGTTAGTTCTAAATGACATTAGGTAAATATTTGCCAGCCATTATATATACACAAGTTTGTTTAGCATCACTTAGTAATGACAGTTGATATTTGCAGCCTCACCACAGGGTCACTGATAAAATAATATGAATAATTGTCACACATGTGTCATCACACAGGTGGTTCTCGCTCTGACTCTGGTGGCCGCCGCTATGGCTGCCCCGTCCAGACGTGGCTACGGCTTCTCCCCCGCCCCCATCCCTGCCCCTGCCCCGTCCTACAGACCAGCCCCGTCCTATAGGCCAACTTATGTAATAAATATAGTTTTTTACGTAGATAACGTGCTTAAGAATATCACTTGTTTATATTTGAAAGTTCAGATAAGAATGTATTAAGTGTTTTCCAGGATAATTTATTACTAGTGCTTTTGTTTCATTTCTACTGTACTTAAACAAGTTATGAAGAAGACTTATTACACTTTCCTATTCCCAGGGTCCTGCTCAGTACAGCTTCGACTGGGCGGTGAATGACGCTCCCTCCGGTAACGACTTCGGCCACGAGGAGACTCGTAACGGTGACAACACCCAGGGGTCGTACTACGTGCAGCTTCCCGACGGTCGTCTGCAGCGGGTGACCTACACTGTCAACGGCGGCTCTGGGTACGTGGCCGAGGTTACCTACCAGGGCGAGGCTCAGCATCCATCCTACAGGCCAGCCCCATCCTACAACCCAGCCCCAGTGTATGGTTAAAACATGACCATTGTGATTTAATTATTATGTAATTTATCAATAAATCTCTACAAAAATTATTTATTTTATTTATAATGTTTATATAACCCACTAAGAGCCTTTTTTTACCTTTCTTTTTCTGTTTTTAAGAATAATCAGTAGAGGTTATCAGAATATTGCTTATTGTCTTTCTTCCTCTCTCATCTTCTCTCTCTCGTTTGTTTTCTACAAAATATTCGAGTTTATGATTATGTAATACTTGGTAGTCAATACGGTCAAGATCTGCGACCAAACAACACCACTTGTATTATCACGTCAGACAACTTGTATAATATGTTACCTTGATAACAAAGGTATGATTTCCTTTTCATTTCATCACTTTTTTATTATATATCAGTAAAAAGCAGCAGATGCCAGATTTATTCTTCAATAAACTGATTCTCAAAACGACACAGGAGTGTCCAAGGGTTAGTTCTGACTTCTAAGTGCATTGTTAACGATCCAGTTGTGTTGCATAAAACGTAGATGAAGAGACTCCTTCAGTCATTTTGGACAGTCAAGAGAGAAAATGTGGACACTGAACTGACTATCACACCCAAAGGACAATGTTGATGGAGGTGAATCTATGTCAACTTTTCGATCATTTGTTAACTCATTCCTCAGTGGTTTATATCAACACCTCAGGTAATTTCTTTAAATATAATGGTACCTTTTGTGATTTAAGAGTATAATTAGGTAATATAACATCTCAGTTCTATTAGTATAACAGTTTTGTTATTTTATCATAATGATAATTAGACGATTTGAACCATGTGGCTTTTAATAGATAGTTTAAAGTTTCATTATGCATACTGTCCTGTACTTCTCTAAGACTTAAACTGGGAGGAACAAACAGCAAACAACATTGATAGAAATAAATGATGTTGAAATAAACGGCAAAATAATAGTATCTCTACCCTTTTATTTTACAGTTATTTATTTTGTCGTAACAACAAGAAAATAGAAGTTATTAGAGTACAATGGTTAAGGTAATATTCTTACACGTGTAGTTAAACATGAATAACTAATATGATCATCATCGTCATCATCATCATCATCGTCATCATCATCATCATCGTCATCATCATCATCATCTTCACTTCCTAAGTAACAATGTCGCATAGTTTACCAGAAGACTAATGGTAGAGTGGCGTGGTAGTCTGCTACTGTGAGGGCGAGACGGGTTGGTGGGAGGTGTCCACGATCCTGCTGATGTTATTGTTGGTCTTACAGTTTTAAGTTCCTCTATTGTTCTTATTCCCATTAACAGCCTAGGGGAATAATCCCATATGTCCCCAATACACAGACAAGTTAAGGAGTTATTATAAGTTATATGTTCTCAATTACAGTGTTTGACGTTTTAGTGAAATAGATCTGGCAGCTTCTTGTATCAAATTGTTGATTATTATCATTCATTCTGATATCATTCTATTTTATTCTTAACTTTTGTTATTTCGGATACTTGTTTCTTATTGCCCCATAACAAAGCAACTGCTGGACAGTCTTATTCCTCTTCAGCCAGACACAACCTGAATAAAAATGTGTCTTTTTAAGAATAATATTTTCTTTATTATTCAAAATCTTTAATTAATTTGTAATTGTCACCGATGATGAGAAATTATTTGGTAATTTTAACTAAAATAATTTAAGAGCTTCACCCAATTCATAACATCTTTTGTCTCACTGAGCACCTACACAGCCCCTCCCACCTCCCTTATCGTGATTATCTTCAGAAAATATTTTTAATCCAGTTTTGTCGACCTTGGTGAGGACCCGCCCACAGTCCTCGGTAGGTATATAAGTGGTGAGGCGTCTGGGATGACCACACTCACTAACTGATTCCTTCACCAGCATCATCAACATCATGAAGGTAAAACTCTCACACTCACCCACTCACTCACTCACTCACTCTCCTCGTGTGTATCAAAGCAGCAAGATCTTTACTAACGTTTGGTTCTTATAAGTTCATTCATAAATAGATAGTCGCGTTTAGGTCACTCCAACTCCTTAGTTCTGGCACTTTATGC